CCGCAGCCCCCGCAGCCGGCGCCACCACCCGCTGAGGACGCCGCCCCCGGGCCTCGGGGCCGCCCAGGTCTCCGCGCCCCGGGAGCCTACGAGAGCTGTCAGAACTGCAAGCGCGCGGCGCTCACCGCCGGCTGCGTGTGCGTGGTCTTCTCGTTCCTCTCCATGGTGGTGCTGCTGTTCACCGGCCTCATCTTCGTCAACCACTACGGTGGCGGCGGCGGCGGCGGCGGCGGGGGTGGGGGACCCCCCGGCAGCGGTTCGTCCCCCGGCCCCGCCCCAGCTACCGGATCGCCCTCGCCCTCGCCCGTAGGACCCATCTGTCTGTCAGTGGCTAGCATCCTAGCGCTCTTCTCGGTGGTGGTCACCTGGATCATCTGCTGGCTCAAGTATCGGCCCGAGGGGGCGGCCGCGGCCTCGGCAGGAAGCGGAGGCAGTGGCTCCAGGGCGCGGGCGGCCGCAGCTCCCGGTGGTGGTGGTGGTGGCGGCGGCGGCAGGAGGAGCGATACGTAGAGGGGCGGCACACCCGGTTCCCGGTGCATCGCCTGCCCTGAGAGGCCCCAGAGGACCCGGCCTTGGGCTCGGTGCGCTGGGGTTTCTGCCTACCTTCGTCTGTGACCATGGACCACCTAGTCAAGGCGGAGCCTCCGTTTCTCGCCTCTCTGTCTTTCCGTTCCCTACTTTCTTTGCCTTGGGCGAGACAGCGATGCTGGTGTGTGGGGGTGACAGGGTGGGGAGTCCCTTTTACCCAGATCTCTGCTTTATGCGCCACCTCACCCTCAGCAGAGTGTGTGGCTGTCCCTTCCCAAAGTCTGAGGATGTGCAGAAGGCGGATTCCTGGTGCCTAGGACTTTGGCATTCATTTAGGGGTGCCGGGCGCGCGCGTGCTCGTCCACAGCAGTTGTGAATGGACTTGAATCGCCTAAAAGAAGAATGAATGAGATGTGAAAGTAAATGATCTTCCCGCTTCTCAAAGATCCCGGGAGGGCAGAAACTAAGGAACAGTCTGGATCCTCACGCCGAGGGATGCGCCTCTGGATGGACTTAGCCCTTGCTGGCATCTGAGCGGTGCTGGGCAGGTGCTCAGCGCGCCTGCGCATCCCAGGCCGCCTCTGTTCTCCCTCTAGTTGGCACGTACTGGTTGGTGATCCGCTGCTTTCCGCCTGGTGGCTGGAGCCGAGCCCAGAAGTCCCATCTCCTGGAGGCTTGCGGTTGTTTTATTCACAGTGTTACTGCCAGGAAGTCATTTTCATCTTCTGTAACCGGACTCGACTCAGGGAGCTTAAAGAGCTTGACCTTCTTTCTCTCAAAACTGACTGACTGTTGCCCCCACCTGGAAGACACTGAAAGCTTTACACAGAGTATAAACTATAGGCTTCCCTTTTTCCCGTGACTTACCCCCCAAACCCCCACACTCTCACATTTCACTTAAAAATAATTTATTTTTGAATATATAAATCTGGAAGTTTTGCACATTAAGATCTCTAGAAGCTGTTTTGAGCGTTTCATTTCTGTCTTAACCTCTGATCCAAACACATTTCAGAACAAGAAGCAGAAAACCAAGGTGTGTTAGTAATTCAGTCAAGATTTTATACTGTGAAACAACAACTTTCAACTCCGTGAAAACATAGAATAATGCCCAAAGATGAAATTGAAAAGTGTCTCTGCCTCTGATGATTATCCAGAAAATGTACATTTATCATATTTTGAGTTTGGCTTTCTGCTATCAGGAAATCATTGAAATGCCCACACCCAATGTGGGGGGGGGGGATACATATCGACCTGATTTTTGAGACTAAAGGGAATGATTTGTGAGTGTATACTTCACATGATGTAGTTGCCTTTTAAAAAGAAAAACGTGGCTCTAAATGTATTTTGTATGGAAACAAGTGTCTTATTCCATCTTTTGAAAGTTGGAAAAAGATAGTTTTCATGCTTTGAAGAAAATCAGAGATGTCATTGGGGAGGGGGAGGTGTTGTTTTTCCTCATGTATTATGTCGTCTGCATGATGCCTTGAACACCCTCCTAGTAACTGAACTTGAGTGAAGCATTTATATGTATCATATGAGTGAAATAATTTATTGGCCATCCATAAGTAGTGTGGCTACAACTTAGGAACCACAATATGGTGTGTTAGATGTCTTAGTTGTCTTAATAAAAATAGGAAGTGTTTATAGAAAATAAGCCACACTGGTTTGGGTACAATTTTATTTCATGGTGGAATTGCTCCAAGCCATTTGCACAGCCTTTCTTTTCCTTGGATACACATTTCACCCAAGTCCCAACTGCACATTTTGAATGAGAAGTAACTCACATTCTAGAGTGTGGCTGCTTAAGATGAGCATTTTGTGTGTATTTTTGAGCTTTTTTTTTTTTTAAAGAAATTTTCCTATTTTTTAAAAATGTGTGTGTGTGCATGTATGTCTATGTAGCTTGCATGATCCTGGTGCCCATGGAAGCCAGAAGAAGGCTTTGGAACCCTTGGAACGGGAGTTGTGAGAAGCCATTGGTGTCACCATGGGGGTATTGGGAATTTTTTAACCCTGGTCCTCCAGTGCTCTAACCACTGAGCCTCTGGCCCAGCCTCGGTTTCTGAGCTTTAATAAGACTCCCTGAAGACTCGCTGAGAACTGTTGTAATATTCTGGAGAGAGAAGAGTGTAGTCCCTGTAGCTGTAACATCCACAAAGACTCGATTCTGACATCACACCGCTCTTGGTTTCTGTGAGCTGTATCAAGTCCCAAATAAGAGTCACATTCCAGAGATGAGTTGCGATTTGTTTATACCCCAAACAGCTTGTGCTGCTTTTATATTTATTTATATGTTTTATTCACCCTTCCCCTCCTCCCGTGCCTCCATTCTGTTTGTAATCACTGTGACCAAAACACATCGATACACGTATATCTGTGTATGTGCGGATGTATATGTATGGCATACGCACACTAGGAACAGACCTTGGCTTTGCGGATGTGGCCATGCGCACACAAACATGTGTTTGCTATTTCGTTCCCTTCAGCTGGCAGCCCCGAAGTCTGCCTAGAGTTTCTTGGGGGCCAGCGTGTTTCTTGCTTACAGTTTATTTATGCTCCACAGAAGCGAACCAATGATGTAGGACGAACTGTTCCTCACACAGAAGGAATGCGTCTTTGAGTTGCCCCCATCACAATGAGAGCCACATTTTTGCTTCTTGCACGGATTACACATGTAGGTTTCCTGTGAAAGTTGAGTTAAAATCGTTGGGAAAAATCAAATAGGTGCCGTTAGAGGCTCCTCCGTACTTAGACGTATTTTTCACCTTGGCTGACCTTGCCTTGGTTGCTAGTTTCTAATTTTGTCACCAGAAATGGAGTGGCAGCAAAATGAGGTGGCAGAAATGTTTGACTGCTCCTCCGGCATTCAGATGTGTGAGCCCTCTCCCATTCGATTTAACCATACACCTTTTGCTATTTTTATATTTATACCCATCCTTTATCCCCCCCTTTCTTTACCTCCGGTGCAGAGATTGTTTCTAATTACTATAGCAAATTGCATCTCCACATGCATATATGTTGTGTATATGAAAATCTCTCTCTCTCTCTCTCTCTCTCTCTCTCTCTCTCTCTCTCTCTCTCTTTGGTTTTTCAAGACAGACTGTATAACAGCCCTGGGATTTGCTTTGTACACTAGTCTGGCCTCTAATTCACAGAAGAAATACAGCCTCCTCCTGAGTGCTGGAATTAAAGGTGTGCACCACCATGCCTGGCTTGGGTATGTCTTAAATATGCACACTAGTAACAGAACTTGGATTCCATATGTGGAAAGGTCTGGCATGTAAGCATCTTAGAAAAAGCAGGGGTTTGGAAAGTCATTGGTGGAATAATGTCTGAACTGTCTAGAGGGCTTCTGGGATAATGGGAGGCACGTTCCCATCTTCCCATGACAATTTTCCCCTCAGCATTTGTTGCTGTTGTTTTTTGTTTTTCCAGACAGCGTTTCTCTTTGTTACCTTGGCTCTCCTAGGACTTGTTGTGTAGACCAGGCTGGCCTCAAACTCAGAAAGATTCACCTGCCTCTGCCTCCCCAGTGCTGGGATCAAAGGAGTGTTCCACCATCGCCCAGCTTCCCCTCAGCATTTTAGAGGACAGTGACTCAATCCTGGATAAGAAGGTCCAGTTAATCTCTCTGTGGTCTGCCTTGCACAGCCTCTCAGGAACTTGGGGATCCCATCACTCCACTTATGCCTGAGTGCAAGGCTGCAGATTCCCCTAAATTTCAAGTGAAAGCATTTATCCTGAGAGCAAGAGGTTGGATGCCTCCCCCCCCCCCCGCCCCCACCCAATACTACCTGATTTGACAAGCAGGATCCATCTCCAGAAAGCACATTCACACCTGCAGCCAGGAGATACCTTCTGAAGATCACTTTCTCCTTATTTGGAAAGATGTTGGGGAATCATTTGACCTCTTTCAACTTCAGACTCTTCCTCAGTAAAATGAGAAGGAAAGTTCATCAGTGACCCACCTCTGAGGTTCACAGGAGGGCTAACAGCTAAAATGCTGAAGCTTCCTGCACCCACGTTACTGCTTTCATTCAAGAATTTAATGTCCCTTTCGCAGAGAGTGCTGTCATGTCTACTATCTGTCCCCAGATACCGGACCACTGTCTACCCTTGCCGAGGTTTAAAATTGCCTACAGAAGTCTTGTTTGTTTGCCCCGTTGGGTGAGGGGGGGAGTGCCATTGTTTGTAACCAGAATGTAAAGTCAAGGACAGAAATCTCGTTTTTCTGGTCTTCCCACAAAGCCTTGGTGAGTTCTCCACACAGAGTAAGTGGCTGATAAATACAGTGTTGAGTTGGCAGAAGGAAAACTCTGAAACAAATGTTGGACAACTCGACTCAATCTACCAGTAACTTCTGAGATTTGAGGGCCATAGGTAAGGGGTGGGGTGGGGCTTTCCTCTGCTTTATAAGGATTTTTTTTTTAAGGGTGGAAAAACTAAGGGCCAAGGATTAGCACAGTTGGTGCAAAGAAGGCATAGGTCTGATCCCCAACGGTGCCTAAAACTGAGCATGACGGTGCATGGTGCACTCCCGTCATGCCAGCCCTGCCTGGGGAAGGGGAGGCAGACCGATCCCGAGTTCAAGTCACCCTCAGCTCTATTTGTAACCTGGGCTACACAAGAAACCCTGTCTCAAAATAAAACAGATGCATAAGAAATATATTTGCAAAAAGCACTTGGAGTCCTGAGGGAGAATGAGACCCTGCAGGGGACCTCACAGTGCATAGTCAACAAGGGAACCACAGTGAAGACAACTGGCCTCTGTTTCTAAGAGTTTCTGCATTGTGACATTTAGGATATGTTTATGAGCATGTTTGTACTGTGCTTTCTATAGCAAGTGGCAGAAGGTTCCCCCACAACACCAAGAATCAGTTCTGTTACATTGTGCATTACCCGATACTCCCTGTTTTATGAACTCTCAATCCTGTTCACTAACCTGCAAATTTTATGGATTTCTGTAGCTTCCGCCATCTGATGACTCTGATGCGACCCAACTGGTACTCTCTCACACAACTTAATTCCTAATTGTTAATATCTGTTTATTGCTAATAAACAGATGGGTAGTATCTTTACGTTTCTGCTTTCACACAAATGAGTAGAGTCAAATCGTGGGCATGCATCTTTGTTAAATATACATCTCTCTTCCTTTGAAGTCCTGTTTTATTGGGGATCTTAGCGTGTGGCTTAAAAGGCTCCTATTATTCCAGCAGCCACTGTCTCATCCCTTAGATGAGTATTAGAAACAACTGGACTCGACCTTAGTTTGCAGTTCCGTGGATGAATCAAGTGCAGTGGATGTTTTATCCGTAATTCACCAGGTCTCTTGATTGTCTGTGTAAGATAAGGCATGTAAGGATTACCCCGTCCCTATTCCCTTCAATCAATTTTGATTCCAAGTTATCTGCTCTCTTAAGCAGACCTAAAATTTGCCAAAGAGAAGCAATTTTGTTTCCATGATAAATTTGCAACCACTCCTGATCATAAGACATTTGGGGAAGTGAGTGTTTATAATCCAATCACCAAGAATATTCCTAGGAGCTTCGGAAGAATGCGGGCATTTCCTTTACAAAAACAGTTGTCTTTGCATGTAAAATTGGATTATCTTTGGTTTAGAAATGCCAATTTCTAGGGGGTCCAGCGTGTGTGGGAGGGGCTGGAATGAGAAGAGACGGAGTGGAAAAATCTTCCTAACTTATAATATTTCAAAACAAATCCCAACATAAGAAAGTGTCTCATCTGTGCAGAAAGACACTTTATTTCAACAGCTTTTTCAGAAACCATGGACTGTGGTCCCCTCCGGCACTGAGTAGTTTCCATCACCTATAAATTAATATTTCTTTTTTGTTTGCTTGTTTGTTTTTACCAAGACAGGGTTTCTCTGTGTATAAATTAATATTTCTATTGTGTGCTCGTTGACAAAATAATTTTTCAATCGAACTTGAGGGGTCGAGAGGGTGTTACATCTACCCTTACGGTTTCGGGGTCGGGGGGAGGAATTATAATTCCCAGTGAGAATTATAAAGCTTTTGTCTGGGGAAAACTATTGGAGGAGCAGCCTCAGCAAGGAAAATGATTTGTTTGCGAAGGCCTATTTCTTATGAGACACACAGATCGAATTTATTTATTAAGGGAGCCTTCTGGCAGCGTCTCCAAGAGGGTCCAGTTGTACCTGGCGGGCTGGGAGAAGTATGCGGAAGCGCCCTCCCTCAGAGACCGCTGTTGATTGGCCGGGGCCGGGAGGGGGGCGGTGAGGTAGTATTTCTAAAAGGCGCCCCAGGTGATTTTCTAAGCTGTTAAAATTGAGAACCATATATTTCACACCTTAATGAAACGCCACTGTCTCCCTAATCTCACTTTAATGAACTCGACCCTGCTACTTTTGTTTTGTTTTAAATAGAAATTCCTTGAAGGAGATTTTTTTGGATTTAGGAAGTGGTTATACTTTGGAACTGGAACTAGAGGAAGGCTATTGAATAGTTGAACCCTTGCTTTGGCTCCTCTCTCTCTCTCTCTCTCTCTCTCTCTCTCTCTCTCTCTCTCTCTCTGTGTGTGTGTGTGTGTGTGTGTGTGTGTGTGTGTGTGTGTGTGTGTGTGCTGTGATTATCCTAACCTGGATGCAGTGCCTTCTAAATTGAGACTTTTCTGCGAACTTTCTTCCTACCCCGGTCATGGTGTCTGTGATCTCAGACACTCAAGGAAACTGAGGCAGGAGGAATGCCTGAGTCCAGAAGTTGGCGACCAGCCTGA